AAAATTCTCCCTAAGTTTTGTCCTTACTAATTATTTTCATTCTTGGACTTTATGAAAGTTAAAGGTATAATATCTAGGTAAAAGTATTACATATTATATCAACAATTTTTTTTGCCAATTCTACATATCTAAAAGAAAAAAATATCCAAGTTTTCTTTGTTTTTGCCAATTCTACATATCTAAAAGAAAAATATCCAAGTTTTCTTTGTTTGGATTCCATGTAGATTTCTTTGTAACTTACTAACCAAATATTATAGATATATTTTGTTTTTACAATATTTCATTCATGTCGGATTTTGGGGTTCATTGTACATGGGTCATTGATCTCATACTTTCAAATTCGGATCCCATCGGAAAATAGTCTCGAAAGCATTGGGTAGAAGTTTCTTCTAATGGAGGAAAATGATATATACACTTTCGGCGAGGGCCACGTTTGGGAGGTCATCATGCCAGCCATTTATATATTCTTACCTTTTACATGCACAAGCAACACTATCAACAATTTTCGGGAGAACGAGAAAAAGTCATCCTATGGAACACCAAAAGCGTTTTTGCACTTATATCATTGTTGGTTTTGTTACACAACATGCAAATTTTTAGTGAGGTAGATAATTCGCTCTAAGTATAACGATCGAAGATTGTTACCATCGTATGCTACAAGAAATCTTTGCTACAAGAAATCTTTGTTACAAGAAATCCTTCATTGCTACAAGAAATCTTTGTTGATGAAAGAGTTATTACCTTAGCTCTATGTAATGCTTTTCATGCTTTTTTTTTAACTGAAAGCTATTACCTATTCACTTCAGGTTACAAGTTACAACCAATGAGAAAGAAGTAAGTCTGGACCGAAGAGTGATTTGGAAATCCGATACAAGGTCATCTCCTTCGGAGTTTCTCTATAGAGTCTCTAAAAAATAATGCAAAAGGCAAAAAAGGCATAGAGACGGTTCTCAAAGTTCTCAATCGAAAACCTCACACAACTTTTGTAACAACCTGATCATTTGAGAGGTGGAGAAACATGATTGGC